GTGGCGGGCCTGCTTCACAGCTGGGGAGGATTGTGCACTAGCGGCCCCCACCAACAAATGGGGTGAAATCTTGAAGGCAAAATGAACCAGGGGACTTGGATCGGAAGCTAAGAGTTCAGAGTGAGTGTAAACTCCATGGTAGATAAGCAGCCATTCCAGTAGCACCCGAGGTATTTATTAGTACTTTTTAAACATCCTTCTGAAATACATGACCCATCACTTCAGCACAGAAGGGCTCCTAGGCAATTATACCAGCCAGGATTCCTTCTCTCCGCACCACTGATGTGTGGGACCAAGGACTCCCGCCGTGGGGGCTGTCTGGTGCACTGCAGGGTGGCTGGCTGCACCCCTGGAGTCACCCAGATGCCAGTACCATCTGCTGCCCCAGCTCTGCCCTGGCTGTGTCAATCAAAAAAGCCTCCAGCCATTACCAAGAGGAGGAGAGTGGGCGGTACAGAATAACCCCTGGTTGAGCCCCGCAGATACAGAGAAATGGTTCCCTACTCCTGAAAAGAATCGCCGGAAGAGCTTAGGCAGTAAGTTAAAGCCACAGACCGGACTCAAGCACTGGCATCTTTTCAAACACACCTCAAAACCCAGCCTCCTATGACTCCTGGACAGGCAGAATGAGAAACCCTGATGCAGAGAGAGAGAGGAACTAACAGTCATGAGATGCTTTTTTTTTTTTTTTAATCATCCCAGGTCAAAGCTCTATGAAGTTATAATTGTTTTCCTATCTTGCCTAAGAGGAGACTGAGCCTCAGAAAGGCTAAGAAACGTGTCCAAGAGCATCGCGGCTGGGGAGGTCAGCTCTACAAAGGCCAATTCAATGGGCAGTGCCGGGAAACAAAAAGGCCACTCCAGGCACGGGATGCACTGAGCCCTACATCCCTTTTTAAAATTTGATTTTGAGGCCGAGTTTCGCTATGTTGCTCAGCCTGGCCTTGAAGTTGCAATCCTCTTGCCTCCAACCTTTTGAGCAGCTCGGATCACAGGCATATACCATCACGTCCAGCTTGATACCAACTTGAGCCAAAAACCCAAAGTATTATTTGTAGTATTAAAAAGCTGGAGACAATCTAAACATCCTTCAATAGAGAAGTACCTCAATAAATTATATGAGATCCATCATATAGAATATTCTGTCCTCACAACATCCCAATGAATTAGCTTTACATATAAACAGATATAAAAAAGCTGCCCGTGTTATAGCAAGATAAGCAAACTACAAAAAAGTGTGTAGCAATATCAATTTCAGAAAATATATTCATTTTTCACTTACACAAAAGGCCTGAGAATATACACTGAATTGTTAAAAGTGGCTCTTGTGTGTACCTCTGTGTTTTCATAAATAGGGAATTTTATCTTTTTGTTTTATATTATCTGTATGGCTTGAAATCTTTGAATCACATGGAAAAGTTTGGGGGGGATAAATTATCTTACAAACATAAGCTATCACATTATTTAAGCATTCCAACTTTTTGCATAAAGAAAGCTGCTCAACTAATAAAGTTTGCAAATTATAGATAATCCATATTTCTTGATTTTTTAAATGTTGACCATTGCTGTTTAATACTTTTATGAGAACATGCTTAAAAGTAAATGTCTTGCCAGTTTATTTTTAAAAGCTTACAGTTCTTCAGAAATTCCTTCCAAGTCTATAACTGTGTGACAGTGTAACTTGCTGGCAGGTAGTATGTGTCCTGAATAATCAATTTCTGCTTGGTATGCTTTTATGTTTGATCTCTTAACTGTTGCGTAATGACATTAGAAAACTGAACTGACCCAACTATGCCAAACTTTGATATTTCAGCTAAAATAATTTTACAACATCTCATTAAGCAAGAAGCAAGTAATAGAAACTGTCAATCATTTTTAGTAACATTAGATTGACCCCTTTCCCCTAAATAGCAGGACTGAGAGTAATTCACATACAAAAGGAGAATTCATAGCATTACAACAGATGTGGAGATTCTAAAGTCTTTCCCATTAAAAAGAAAAGATCCAGGACGCACTAAACCATCTAAATGCTGGAGGACATACACAACATTCAAATAAACAGAAATTTGGAGCTCATTCCTAATAATTCCATCAGTTTACAACCTGAAATGAAGTGAGCAACTAAAGGCTTTGTCTGCTAAAATGTGTGCCCCATTAAATGCCGCAGTTTCTCCAGCTTTGCTCAGATAAAGCAGTAGCATCGTGAAGGGGTGAGCTGGCCTCTCCCTCGGCTCCAGAGGCCTGGTCTTCCTATGTGTTATGGTAGGGCAAGGGCCAGGCTCAGGCCTGCAGAATCTGAGCCCAGTAGTCAGGTCTTGTTGGCCAAAGTGAGTTAAGTTGAATGTGCCCTCACTACTTGCCTATCAGCCCACTCTCCTGCTTTCTTATTTTCATCTTGCCCATGCAGTGCCATGCAATGCTGCTGTGGGCTCTGGATTTCTCATCTACCCCAGGGGCCTATGGGTACAGGAAGTTGTACCTGACTTCCTGAATCACCCTCCCACTGATTCTTGGTAATTCCATTCTCCTGCCTCCCCTTCAACTCTCTTTGGGGAGAGGGTTTTTTTTTTAATACCATGAAGTTTTGAATTCCTGATTAACTCTCTAAGACAAGAAAAGGGCAGGGACATTTGTCAACCACCTAGCGTCAGCTCTGCTCAATCTCTGTTATCCTTGCTACTGAGGTCACGAGTCTTACTTCCATCATCCAGATGGAAACAGCAAGGCTCTGAGAGCTGTTCCCATTCGGATGTACAGCGCTGTTGACTCTCAGGATCTTATTTATTATCACGGGACAGAACTTGAAACTGCTTACAGAGCAGGACTAACTCCAGCCAGGGAAATTTTTACTACGAACAACACAAAGCTAATAAAAAATGGCACTGTTTGCTGGTGCATTTGAAGACAATTACACTTCAAATAGTCCCTGGAAGAACATTTTCCATCCTAGGAGACAGGATGTTTAGGAAGATGTGATCCCATAAAAGTATGAAAGAAAGGAGAGGAACACATAAAGATTTATTTATTTTTTTGCTATTAAAAAGTAATACGCAAACCACTCACTGGGAAACTAGGCTCTGGCCCACTTTGGTGGCGCCTGGATTTGCCAGAGAAAATATGACAGTTTTCTGCTTTAACTGGGTTTGTATCGGAGACCTACCTGCCATCCCTTCTTTCTCTGGCCAGTAAAACCCAGCCCAGTTACTTCTGGCTGCATGTGTACGGGTGGGGAAGGCAGAGCTGCAGAATATGGAGGCCCTGGGTCTGGAGTTATCTTCTGGGCTGATCCTGACACTTGAAAGTTGCAAAATTAATGGTCTTTCAACTACCGCAGACGTTGCCTACACAAGGTCAATGGTGCGGCAGAGAAACTCAGGTTCTGGAACTCCCCGTAGGTATCACCTCTTGGTAGACTAACATGCTTAGAGCTGGAGGCCTGGGTTAGGGTGCCAACCCCACTTCTTTTTTGCTGTGTGACCATGGCAAGTTTTATAACCTCTCTGAGCCTGCTTTCCTTTTCTATGCAATGAGGTTGCGAACAGCTTCTACGCCACATGACTGTTAAGGATTTTGCAGATGCAAAGCATTAAGAGAACTGCATGACGCACAGGTAAGTTCCTGTTCCATAAATAATTAAAAAATAAAATTGAAAATTGCCGTTCATCAAGTGACTTTTAAGAAACAGCCTCCTGATATTATCTCTCTAACTGATTTGTATATGCTTATGTTAGGCAGAGAGATAGACAGCAGCAGGGCTGGAGACAGGAGCTGGGACTACTTAAAAAGCAAAGAAAATATGATTTTTTCCCCCTTTTTCCTTTGCTTTCTTAAACATTAGCTATAGATAAAAAGTCCACATAAACTTACAACTTTAGCTCAAGAGAACATAACATTCTGAGGGTGCTGATGAGGTTCAGAACCCAGACAAAGCCCAGACCATGGGTGAAGGGTTGGAAAAATCTTCAAGGTCATAACAAACTGAATGGAAACTGTCCACCCTGTGAGTACAGGGACCTACTTCTCTGTGAAGGAGGTCAACACAGCCCTTGCTTCTTGTAAGCAAACAAGATAGAGGAAGGAAAGGCTATTTCTTAGAAGACCTAATTAGCCATATAAATGTAATCTGAGACCTCATTTGATGCAACTACAACTTTGGTGCTTGCCTACCTTCATGCTTGAAGGTGTATTCTCTCTCTCTCTCTCTGAAAATCTATCACTTTGCAATAAACTCTACCTATACTCTATATGATGCCCTGAGTGTCTTGTCTGAATTCTTTCACCAAAGACATGCAGAATCAAGGTACGCTGCTGGTTCCTTGCTGTTGTGAAGTCATGGTGGTATTAGAATCTGGCTTCCTGGTAACACTTGCATGAATCAAAGCTGGGTAAAAAAATTAATTTTTGCATGGGAAGGAATGCAAATAGACTGAAAACCCAGAAGAAAATGTCAACAAAGACTCTCGTTGCAGGAAAATGGATCAAAAACAGCCTTCCAATGTTGATGACATTGCTCTAAATGATTGCGGAGGGATTCGAAGATATACGTACTACTAATGAAGGACCCGTTGCCCTGAGCAGATGAAGCAGAAAGAAACAAAGAATATTTACTTCAGACCTTCAGAATGGAAGGTCCAGACAGAATCTTCAATTACTTGTGCCCTGCTTGAGACCCCAGTGCCTGTAGACCTCCAGACTCTGCAAAGAGCCCCTCCCAGCTCAGAGCAACAACTGAGGCTGTTACCCATTTCATGCTACTCCTGTGAGGAGCAAAGGCTGGTTTCAATGTGTAGGTATTAAACACTTCATTGCAAGAAGGACTTTTCCCCTAACTTTCTCACGTTGGGGGCAGTCCATGTGGTACGTGGGCACACCCAGTGACACTCTCCACATGTCTAGAACTACGTGTCTCTGGACGTCACTGGGTTCATCTCACCGCCCAGGAAAGAACACACCACCTGGCAGCAACAGATGGTTTCCCTTTGGAAACCGACCAAGCTTACCTAAATAGTTGTTACTCTTGTGCATCTCGGTGATGTTGATTTTTGTGGCTCCTTGGGGGATTTCCACAACGCGGTGGTAGCCCAGGCTGGTGAGGGCATGTTTAAACACGCCCGATACCACCTGACAGCCTGTGTTGTCGCCTCCACACACCCCACACTTGTCCACGACTTTGTCGGAGCCCAGGTAGTCATCACAGCCAATGCTCTGCAAAGAGGCAGAAAAGGGAAGATTCTTATAGCATGAATCAGGGCATCCTGGGGCAAGGAGGGAGAGGGGTGGTGGGATAAACTGGTGGGGCGCAAACTGCCCTCCTCCTGCCCCTGCTCCTGTAAAAGCAAGTCCATGCTGGGCTTCACTCTACAGTACGCACAGAGCACCTACTCTGGGCAAAAACTATGCTTCCTAGTTGCTCATGTTCATTTCACAGGTAGGGTGGGGGCTACAGACAGTGAAAAAGACAAATAAATAGAGTGGTGCATTTTGTGATGGTTAGGTGGTCAGGAAGGAGAAAAATACCACAGATTAAAACAATGAAAGAAGAGGTATGGGCTGGGTTTATTTATGCAGGTTGGATAGTAAAGTTGTTCTGCAAACCCCCACGGAACTAAGGGAGTGTCAAGGATGCTCCAGGCTGGAAATTTCACAGGAAGAATCTCTTTGGAACCATGCTAAGTACCACACCCCAAACTGAAGACTGGCTTCCAAGTCTTCTGTTCCCAATTACAGATGCTATAAACACCTAGCAAAGTAACCCCCCAATCATGTTCCCTGGCCCAGTTTCTTAGGAAATCAAATAACCTTGTCTGAGATCAGAATCTCTCCTGCTAACTGTGGCTCTGGAGAGGCAACCAGCAGGAACTGTGCCCGATTATCCCAAGGCACTTTTCCTGAAGCAGACGGCCAGCAACAGCAACAAACAGGATGATAAGCTTCAAACTAATGGCGTACTCTTTGTGCAGTCTTGTTTAAGGGAACTTTCCAGAATCTCCCCCTAAAAGCTTCTTTCCATGACTTATTTTGATCTTTTTGCTTTATCTGCACTACCCCCTTCACGGTCCTGTGGGGGGAGATTTATTCTGCGCTAAAAAAAAACCCAAACAAACTTTGCAACAGAATGGAAAGCACTTCATGAAATCTTTTTCCACTTCTGGAGCTGATGCCGTAGGGCTCATGATAATGTCTCCTGAATTCAAAATCAGGACTGCGGGTCTGAGCACAGAATTCTGTCACATGTCCCTGGGCAGATGAAAGTAAGTACAGTATAGTGTGGATGATGAAATATTGGGATTATGGGATTATGCCCTGGGTTATGGGGATACAGAAAGTGCTTGAAGTCAGAATGGTATTCTAAAACCTGAGACATATGTTTGCTGACTCACAAGCTGGAATTCTAAAAGCAATCAGACCACCTCTCAGGGGCAAAGTGGTCAGCAAACTTTTCAAGGACTACTTTTGATTTTGTAAAGCAACCTTAGGTCTGTTCACATGGGCGTTGCAGGTCAAATCCCATAAACTGGGTCAGAGCAAAAGGTGTTGGTTGGGCCCCTCTGACTTCATGTGTGATTGATCTCTCTCTGCAGGTGCTGTACCTCTGCATTATTGCTTCCATACTCCCAGGTGCACATTAGTCCATCCATAATGGGGTTCTCTTCACAAATAACTTCTCTGTAAAACATTACTTCTGACAAAAACAGAACATCATCTCAATATGTTCATTCACATTCAATTAGCTTTTCAAAATGCCATGTTTGCTATGTATTTCTCCGCCCTCAAATATTTCTTCCCCCTGCCCCATGCACATTTTTTGAAGAAATGTCTTCTGTGCATGGTTTCCATACCCCCACTGCCTTGGGTTCTATTTTCCTTTGAGAAAAGGAAATGCCACCACCACAATGGAACCCCTGCTGCCAAAGCAGGATCCTACCTGATTCAGGGAGATGACAGTGACTATGGCTGGTGGGGCAGATGCACGCAGACGCTAATGAATACTCCCTGCCTTCTCCAGCAATATCTCACCCTCCTCCCTCCCCTCTTTCAAGCTCCTGCTAACCCAGGACTCCACCTGTCCCCGGCGGGGCTCACTGTCCTGGGGTAAAGGTGACATGTACACAAAGGCATGGAAGTAGGAAAGAACAAAGCATGTCCACGGAATGATAAGGCTGAAGGGTACAGTTGCTGACAGGGATGAAGTAAGGCAGCACATTCAACCAAATTTGTCAAGATTCTTGTTTGCCAGGGTGAAGAATCAGAATTTTTATCCTATGAAATCTACAACCTCTAGGTATCTGAAGAAAAAGGGGGCCATGCTCAGACCTGTTTCTGGATGACAACTCTGGCTGTGGTGTGGAGTGGGTCCTATCCAGATGGTGCAGGACAGCTAGTGAGTCTCTCTTTTATAAACAGTGCGGAGAGGACAGTTCAACAATGAGCAAAAGCCACCGAAGATGAGTAGATGTCACATCTGTCCTCAGCCCCAGCTCAGTCAGAATGGGGTTAGAAGGACATTATTCAAATGTGGATCACTTTAGACAACCAAAGATACAGATTAAAAAATTATCTGATCTTGTGAATCAGACGTTATGTGAAAATAGTCTGCGTACTTTGGTAGATTCCCACAAAGCACGGCGTTGTGACTCTGGGTGAATCTAGACACACAAAAAGGAGGGCTTTTGCAGCTTTCCTGGTCTATATCCACGTGACCTACAGAGGCGATGTCCTGGATCCTCAGAGTCCATCCTGAGCACTTCCCACAGTTTGCTCCTCAAGGGAAAAGTTAGAAGAAGGGCTGTGTGAACCTTCCTTGCAGGGGGAAAAGAAACTACCAAAAACACCTTTGCACGTCCTGTGGCTAACCAAATCTCTGAGAGACAGAGTTGCTATGAATTTACAAAATATCCCACACCTACTTCACAAGCAGGAAGGGCAGAATGAGGACAGGGAAAGCAATATGTATTTAGGACCTTTAATTTAGTTCTGGGGCCATATGCACATGTGACAACTGTCCTTTCTCCTGCAAAGTGCTGCTGTAAGGATCAGACAATATAATGAAAGATAATATAGACTGGCAGAGGGCTAGGACCTGCATAACAAGAAGGATCAGCCAAGACAAGATCTAAACATGTACGCATGAGCTTGATCACTGATGTTGAGTGACTGTAACAGCCCACCTGGGAATCCCAAGATAAATCAGACACAGCTCCGGTCTTTGGGAATTTGAGTCTAAAAGAGGAGATAAAACACATCTAGGAATAATTATAAGCTATTAAGCAATGAGGAATTTCTGCATTCTCCGTGTCATGCTGGCATGGGATCAACTCTGTTAGAAAGTTGATAATTGATAATTCAATTCACAAAGTCTAGCAGACACTGTACTATCCTAGCCTGCACTAGAGGAATGGAGATTCCCATAGGGGTTCAAGAAATACCCGGGACAGATGCAAAATGAAAAGGCCTTTGTGACTGATGGGTTGGGAGAGGAGGAAGCAGGCTTGAATCTTCTTCCCTCTCTCTCCCATTGGTCTCTACTTCATCTTGTCTAATGCTTGCACAATCTTTACTATATTCTAGGCTCTCTGCACATCTACTTTTCCTATTTACTCTTAAGCCATTAGTGAGGTTACTGAAACTGTAGGGAACTAAGACATCAGGGGGAGCTTGCATTTGAAATTTTGGTCCAAAGCCAAAGCTCATACCTTTAACCATTATATAAAGACTGGAGATCACTGGAGGTCAAAGGCTTGATCTTTATTAAAAGAGAGGATGGTAGCAGTGACCTAGGTTCAGAAGACAAGGTTGAAACACTATTACCATGGAGTTCTGGGAAGTGCCTGGACCAGAAGCAACTCCTGAATTCTCTTCTAGTATAGTGAAAGACCAACCATGCTATGAACTTTCCCACACTGGCTGTTTGAACGTTATACTTCATATACGGTGAGTAGATATTCTTGCTCCTTTTCCTGTTGCATTTTTTTTTAATATAACTTTTGAAAATAGTACAGGGACTTCTAGTGACCTCCCACCCAGTTTTCCCTAATGAAAATACCTTACTACCCACAGTACACTGCCCAAACCATGCAGGCCACTGACATCAGTACTGTACCATTAACTCAAGAATAGGCTTTATTTGGATTTTGCCACTTTTCACGTGCACTGCTTTAGATGGATAGTTCTATGAAATAACATATGCATGGATTATGTACTGTGTTATTTTCTTAAGCCAGCTGGCATTCTCCTCCAGAACACCACTGTGTAATTGGTAAGTGCATCTGATGTCATTTAGAAGGAAAAACAGGAATGACGGCAAGTGCCAGGAAGCCTGGAGTGTGTTTGTGGCTTAGTCAGTGCCTGACTTTTCTCTACTGATATGGAAAACAGTTCCAGCACCCTCTAGGTCTTCACAGCACAGTGTCCAGAAAAGAACTGGACCTGGATTCTGGTTTGTGTATCAGAAGGTCAACCAGTTGGCTTCTGATGGGGATGACTTAATAGCGGTGGTCTATTTTCCAAACTCTTGCAGAGCTGCCACCGAGGTGTCATCAGGGGATTTTAAGGAGGGCACTAGAGGCTGTCATCGCCAGATTCTTTTGCTGGCTTGGTCACTTATGTGTGCGGTACCTTTCAACAAGACAACAAGCTGTTCTGAGCCTCCGTCTTTAAAACTCTGTGGCTGGGGTGGGTGCAGTATTTACCTCTTCCAACAGCTGGGACGCTCAAATGAGGCAAACATTGAAGATACTTAGCAGAACGCTGTAACAGGGTGGCTTCTTGGAAAGTGCTGGATTGTATTAACATTGTCTTCCTTGATTTGATCCTGTTTGGAATCCTACCTTCTTCTAAGTAAATACCATCATCATGTAACCACCTGGAATTCCTCTATTTCTATTGCATTTGCTTTTATCTCTCAGTCAGAAATAGTCTCTGTTTCATTTGGACAAAGGTAGAAAGGCCTGGAAAGTCATAAGAAGGCCATGGTTGCCCATGAGGGGAAGACTCTTTACCTGGCTCCGACACTCTCACTGCTGAAATGGCCCCTAGTGAAAAAAGCAGAAAGTACACCTGCTCCCTGGTCTACCTCTATTTTACAATTATTGTTTACCATGAACTGCAGTCCAAAAGGGGTATTTTTTTCCTTTTGCTGTTACAAAGGTGACTGGATGAGTATCAGACATTCTTAGTATTTTTTCAGGTTTTTTTTTTGCAATATG